ACTACTATGCAGGTTTACACCCATGTGCCTTTTAACCCGGTGGACCTAGCAGCCTTTAAGGTACAGGCAAGGGAATTCTCTACGAACCCAAGCAAGTCTATCTCGGTCTTTGAAGGGTGCCTGGCTAGCTGTAAGCCTGACTGGAATGATTGTCATGTCCTTATGCGGACCCTGCTGTCTGAGGTAAAGCATAATCAAGTTGTGTCTTAAGAAAAGAAAAAGAGGCAAGCGAAAATGATGGTCACAGCAGTACAGGCCGGTGGCAGGGGAAAATTCCAGGAAAGTGGAAGAGGCTGGAAAATGAGAGGACGTGGGCGCCCTGGCTCACAGGAAAGGTGTCTGGGTCGCAACCAGTGTGCCAGATGCCGAAAAGAGGGACATTGGAAAAATAAGTGCCCCAAAAAAGAAGGTACCCCTATGATGGCAGCGAAAGATCAAGAATAGGGGTGTCAGGGGAGACGGACTATCCTGCCCCTAGAATCCCGAGTAAACATGAAGGTAGGAGACTTGGACATAAACTTTTTAATAGACTCTGGAGCTGCACGAACCATCGTAAACCAACCCCTGCAGCTGCCTGTGTCAGAGTCCCTCACTGTGGTGGATGCCACAGGGAAAGGAACCAAATGCCCAATATATGCCCCAGTGGAATGTGCTTTGGGAAATAGAACTCTATCTCACAAACTGGCTTACCTCCCCGATTGTCCAACGCCTCTACTGGGACGGGATCTGCTTTGTTGCTTAGGAGCCAGCCTGCATTTCACCCAAAATGAAATAACCCTCACCTTACCCCCAGAGAATGCCTGGATAATGACTCTTGCAACTGAGCCCTCAGCTTTGCAAGCCCCAGAGTAGAGCCAGTGGGAGGACAAAAGGAGGGTTAAAAAGCAGCTTTGCTGGACAGTGTTGGCCCAGGGATTTAAAAATTCCCCCACCCTTTTCGGCCAGGCCCTGGCCAGAGACTTGGAGGAGTAGGACAATGAGGACAGGATCCTCCTCCTGCAATATGTGGATGACTTGTTAATTGCTGCTGTGGGTCTCATCCCTTGCCTTAAAGCCACTGTGAACCTCCTGAACTGTTGGACTCCTCAAAAGTGAGTGTGCTCGTCCTGGTTTGTTGCTCCAAAGCTCTGTATAGAAGTTATTTTACTAGAAGAGTGTATAATGGCAATGTGTATGTGTTCATTGTTAAAAAAAAGTGTATAAGTAAAAAGTAGAAGTTTCCTTTGTAAGTTAAAAAAAGCCAAAAAAAAAAAAAAGTTACTAAAAAAAAAAATATAGCTAGCAAACTCAGTCCAAAAATAAGATGCTGGCACCATCCAAGGACACTGCCCAGAGCTAAGACTTGGCCGACAGCCAAGAAAAGGGGGGGCCTGAATGGGCCCAAGCAACTATGAGATCTGCAAAACACTGTCAGGCATTAATGAAATGTGTTAAGTTTCTTTTCTCACAGATAAAAGAAGTGCTACCCAAAGACCCTAGCAGCCCTGCCATTCATTGAAACAAAGAGACTGAGTCTACGTAAAGTCCATCAATGAAAAACTGCTTTGGCTCCACACTGGAAAGGCCCTTTCCAAGTCCTGTTCACCACCAACACCGCTGTGAAGTACCGAGGACTGCCCATCTGGACCCAGGCTTCTCACTGTAAAAAAACCCTTCCACCTCGAGAAGACTCTCCGACTGATAATAAGCCTATTTAAAGACAGAGTAATGTGCTAGTAACCTCTCCCCTGTATAATGCTGAACCACACTGTTTCAAAAAAAAAAAAAAGAAACACTTGCTTCACTGAAACCACAAAGTCCAAGAATTCCTAACTACAAAAGACATTAAGAACTGACCCTAGTGAAGAAACAAAGAATTATACGCTGGCAGGGAGGCTCTTAAACCCCTGGCCTCCCAGGTACAAGCTGAATGTCTAGTCTGCCAAAAGAACAACCCTCAAGCTGGAGTGTCAGTGCCATCAGCCACTCTGGAACCTACCCCAGGCCTGGGGCTAGTTTGGCAAATAAACTTTACTGAGTTCCCCCGGACCCAAGGATTCAAATACCTTTTCGTCTTAGTGGATCAATTCAGCGGATGGCCTGATACCTTACCCCTTGTTTTGCTCCGCATTCGCGCTCTCCCAAAGGGCAGGTTAGGGCTCAGTCCCTTCGAGATTATGTTTAAAAGAGCATGGCCTATGAATGGTACACCGGTTCTGGCAGAAGAGTGAGAAATAGAGTGTGGCTTTTTATCTCAGTATATGCTCTCTGTCTGCTGTTCTCTGTTCTCTCCACAGGTATAGCAGAGATTTGCAGCCTCTCCCACTGGATGCCCCTGTCCACTCCTTGCAGCCAGGCGATTCCATTCTCGTTCGGACCTGGAAGGACTAGCCTCTCCAAGAGAAGTGGAAGGGACCCCACACCGTCCTGCTGGTCTCCCACACAGCAGCAAAAGTCAAGAGACACAAGAACTAGATTCAATCACTCCCGTCTGAAGGCAGTGCCCGCTCCTGAATAGTGGACCGTCCAGCCTACAGAAAAGAACTACCAGCGACGACCTGAGACTTAAACTGTTATTCAAAAAGCAATAAAGCCTGCTGGAAATGCCCTGTGGTCTCTCTGGACAGTCGCAGCGCACTCCCCGTGAAAACTCTAAGCGTTGGTTGTGTTTATTTTCACAGGGCTGGCCTAACCTGGTGGTCTAGTCCCTTTTGCTTTTAATCTGCCTACTATTAGTAATTGATATTTTGTAAGTATTTAAAAAATTGTAATTGTTAGGCCCTAGGGTCACCTGCCCAGCATGAGTTCAGGTCCAGGGTCTGCCACAGTGGTACTCTTTGCCATAGAGACACTCCTTTCGTTACCTCCCGTTTCCCCCCAGGCACATGTAGGATGGAAAGGGATCCCTACTAACTTAAAAACAAACACATATGAGTCCTTAAAAGTTTGCTTTGCCCAAAAATTTAACCTCTCTAACTGCTAAGTATGCCACCTCCCAAATCCCGCACCACGCAGCTGGGTTACCCTGGAGGGTGGTCCCCCAAAATTAGTCAGATATCTGCTAGAAATAGTTCAGTAAAAAAAAAATACCTCGGGTACCCCCTTGTCACAAAACTGTACCATTGAATCCCAGTATGCATTAAGGGACAACCCCTGGCTGCCCCAGGCAGCGTAAATCTTTGTATGCCACCTCAGAGCCCATTAAAAAAGCTTATGTCCCAGAAAACTCACAGGACATTAACAAGCACGTCCTGTCGGCCGAACAGGCTTTCGAGCCGTGGAAGGCCCAAGAAAAGAAACCCACAGTTTTCAATTCCCTTTAAAGTTAGTTGCCCAACCTAGGAGGACTGGGGGGTGGCCTTGTGCGTCTCCTCCTCACTGGTGTGGTACTGTGCCTGGTCACCCTCCTCCTAATTGCTTGTTTTAAAATGCTCCTCCGTAAGCTTTGTGCCCCCCCGTTCCTCAAAAATCCCGGCATACCCTCTCATTAAAAACCCCAGCTTCATAGCACTTAATCATATCTTGTCCACAGAATATGAGAAAACTCAGCCAAAAGCTTGTTGAGTATTCTCAAAAGAAGGAGTTGTTGACGTCACTAGGCATCACCCTAGGTAACTTGGGAGAGTGGAAGGCCACTAAGTGTCAATGAAGCCTTCCTGCACTAGGCCTAAGTGAACCAAACTCTATCCTTCCATGTTTAAACTCTAATCAACCTCAAAAGCCAGGTGCAATTAAAATATGTAAGCAACCAATTATCTGTGTGCAACCCCCTGCTCAAGCAGTAATAATAAGGCCTGCATGTTTCTGGCTGAA